CGGATACAAGCTATTTACCTGTTCTTAAAGATGACTAAACATACATTTTGTTATCATTCCAAGTTTTACATGGACTTTTCTTGCTCGAGTTTTTCAACCACAGCCTTCCTCTCATCTTCCGAAAGAGCCATGAACATGAAAACAGATTTATCCCCGATGTCATCCTTCAACAACCAAACCAGATTGAAGATTAATTAGTTTTATCACATTTTGATACTTGTAAAAGTAGCAAGACCTCTACGATCGCTCGCATATGCTAATCTTAACCAGGAAACAGTGTACCTTTATAGGCTGAGTGAATTTTCTTCCGGCAAATAATACAAAGAGCGCCATCCACGTTCCTAGCAACACCAGTTTTCCCTCGTCATTCATCAGACCAGTCTGCAAATTAAAGACACGCCAATCAAATCCCAGTTCCAGGAAAAGTTCTTGTTTAATCTAAGGAATCACCAAACAATATATCTTAATCGAACAAACTACTGTACCAAATGCCCGAGAAGAACTGAAGGTATGATGAACGTGAGAAGGCCAGCTTCTAGCTTTCCATAACATAGTCCTGCAAATCAAGTGCATCGATTCGGTTAAAAAACATTCGAAGCCTAACTACATCATTAAACCACATGACTTTCAAATTAACAGAAGCAAGATTTCTAACCTTCTTTAAAAACGAGTCCCGTAAGCGCAGCGAAAAGAGGACCAACGAACCAAACAGCGGTAGGATGATCAACAACATAATGAACCAAGTTATCACTAGCTGGTCTAGCAAGTGTTGCATAAACAGCTAACGAACCAACAAAACCAAGTGCCCATAAAGCCTGAAGAGTCCTCTTAATCTCCGTTACATAAATATGAATCAGAAACAGTGATAGACCCAAACCACTAGCACCAACAAAGTAAAAGAAATCATGGTTTTGCTTGATTGTTTCACTTAACCATGAGTTCGCTGGTAAAAAAGCAGCAGAAGAAGCAGCTACAAACGATGCAGCAGCAGTTACTAGCCCTGACCTATACAGAACAACCTAAAGAGAAAGAAAGGTCATAAACCCATAAAGGAGTTAACTTTCATGTCGAACTAAGCAAATCACAATGACCCAATATCTTAAAATTGAAGAGAAGTACCTCTTTGACATCGGATGGTTCTACGGTCCATGGACCGTAAACACCTTTGTAAACGGTTCCATCGACGGATCCTTGCGAACCATCGCTTAATGCTCTGAAATTGACTCGACCCTTTCTTAAGCCGAGTCTCCCCGGCGATTTGGTGAGATTCGCCGGAGGTGTGATTAGTGTCGTCGATAAGAAACGCGAAGCCATAGTGATGAATTGATGAAAACACAGAGCTTTCAATTCGTAACGGTGCGGTCGAGGAGCAGATTGATTAGAGGTGCTAAAACGCTGTCGTTTCCGTTTTGAGTAAGTGGTGACGTGTTCGGTTAAATTTGATGAAAAATAATATGTGGTTATTATCTTTTCATCGTTATTCGTTAGGGATAAAATAAAATATGACAAAATCCAAGAAATATCTCTCAATTCTCAGGTTATTTTTTCTTTTCTTCAATATCTCAAGTTATACAATCAAACAAGTGATAAAAAAACAAGTGATAACTTGTTTGATTTTCTTCAGAAATTCATTTTTCATGAAGTCTTATCTCAAGTTATACTTTATAAATGGTGTACGTATATTTGCAAAGATTAATTTGGATTCAATACAATATCCACAAAAGTATTGGTCAATCAATTTCTACTAACTATACTCTGATCGTTTGCAATGAATCTTGGCATGTGAACTTCCAATCGAAATTTCAGCTTTGAAGGACTTTAAACTAACAAAACCTTACAAGCTCATTTGTTTGGTTGATTCAATCAAACAGTAAAACAAGTTCTTGTAGGAGATAAAATCTCAATCCAATATTTTCCGATGATCGAACCCTATTTATCTCCTACAAACTGATCTTCGGATGTGAAGAAGACAAACCTAATCTAACAAAAAATTTGATATTTTGTTTGTCTCTAACTTCTTTTGGTTTCTTCATCTGACCCAAATCCAAGAAGATATTAAGAGAATGGTAATGTCCTACCAACGACATGGCATACCTTTGTGATCGAAACGCTGTACTTATGAGTCCGAGCACGCATAACGCATAACGCGCAGAGCGTTGGTTTTTTTCCGAGTGAACATATTCTTCAGATTTCTGTTTCTCTTTTACATAAAGAACACAAGGTTACATTACACAAGGCAAATCTATCTTCATCCTTGCAGATGGTAAACGACAGCCACTGCAGAACCAAATCACATTTTCCGTAAGAAACGAGTCACGGTTTTAAGAGAGAGAGACATCATTCTAAAGGGAAACAAATAAAAACGCAGACCTCATTCAATCTCTATCTGTTGAGGAGCTTCTTCTTCATTAGAGACCATCCCATCGGCATCAACTTCCTCTTCCGTAATACCCGAGGCTTCAACCGTTCGCGTCACCCATTCCTTGAGCGGTTCTTCGTTAAGATCGAGTTTTAAAAGTCCAGCAAACATCCCACCCATAAATGCAATTGGCTCCTAAAGAGAGAGAGAGCATAAACAACAACGTTGCAAGAAGATTAGATGCATCAAAGCAAGCACATAAAAAGTAACCCATCAAAATCTGAAACAGAGGAACAACAACATGTAAAACAAGAAATCTTCCCCACAGATTGATCAAGAACACACACAAAACACATCAAGAAATTGGTTTTCCTGTACGACAAAGCAAGCAAGAACGCATTGATGAACCCTAATTACCAAATGTTATCGCTCTAATTGGTTAATTGGGACCCTTTAGAAGAAAATCAATTCTGGTATGAAAGTAATCACTTTTAGGAAAAATAATTGAAAAAAAGAGTTACCTTGAGGGCTTCTGAGAGAATGGGTTCTTGAGGGAGATTGAAACAAGATGATTTCGAAATTAGGGTTCTACGAGTCGGAGAATATTGAGGACGAAACGGAATTTCACTGCTTTTGATTCCGGCGGAGAACTGAAAGATACAAAACAAAAGAGTATTCTTAAAAGATTGTAAGAGAATCAAAAACATCAGAAGAAGAAAAAAGAGAGAAGAAAGACCTGAGAGACGACCATAAGCGAGGACATAGGAGAAGTACAAGTTAGGACAAAACCCATTTGCTTCTTCTTCGTCGTCGGTGAGGAAAAAAGAAAAAAACAGTGTGAGGCGAAATTGCAGCTATAACTAAAATACATTTTAGATTGAAAACAATATTATTCGTTTTTGTTTGGAAAAATATGCCTTAGCAATTAAAAATGGGTTAATTAGTTAAGTAATATATTTGATAATGTAAATTAACAAAGTAACATGTATAGTTTGTAAATTTAGTAATTAGCAAAGAGAAATAAAATTTGAAAAATTTACCCTTTTAATAAATTCAATTAAAATTATCAGCTTAATGCACATTTAATGAAATTTGTCACTTAACTAAAAAAAATAATAATAGTTTTTTCTAAAAATAAATTTGAAGTAGACATATATAAAAATATA